TTTTAATATTTATTTATCTACAACATAAAAATTGCTCATAAATCTGCTCAAAATTACTCCTTAAACCTGTTGTCACAAGATAACCTCTTTGCGGTGGCCTCTGGCCACCAAGCGTCCTTTACTAATACACCAGATGAATTCTCTGCACCCTATCCAGATGTAGCCGGCACAGATATGACCAGAAGAAAAAAAGGCAAAATTCCTACACCGAAATTTATTACTATTTCTAAAAGAAAAAATTCAAACCTTTCTGAACCCCTAAAAAAACCAAAGTTTATTGAAAAAGAAAAAGAAAAAGATAAGCCTTCTGAGCTTACTGAAGAGAAAGAAATGACTCTTTCAAAGTCTATTGGAAAGTCAGAACTATCAGATGATTCTGATCTTATGGATATACAAGAGGTTGGAGTTGAAGCTATTGACACAACCACCAATGGCCAGAATACAAATCTGTTAAATCATTTATTGTCAAAGGAATATACTGAACAAAACAAAAATCAGCCACCACTGAAGGAATCTACTAAACAAATCAGTACTTCTGAAGTTAATGAATCCTTATCTCAAGATAATGTTTTGCTTACGCAATCAAAGTCTCCATCTCAAACACCGGTAGAACCAGATTTTTACTTTGCTAAAGTAGAATGTCCACCCGACTCGACTAATCAGTACACACAATATAATAATGGTCCTTTTGTAGTTTTCATAGAACCCATCAACAAGGAATTAGTCAAAAACGGTATGAATGCTACTAAATTAGGTTGCATTCTTTCCAAATCGTACAGTGAGTCCATATTTCCAGGAGCTATTGTATTTTCTGATTCCTTCAAGATTGTTGTAACTCTTAAAACTCAAATAGCTGCCAATCGCCTTCTCAAAGACCATGTTCTGGCCCAGAATAATTACAGAGCTTCTGTCCCATCATCTCGTTGCAACACTCAAGGCTTGATAAGAGGTGTACCTCATGACTTATCGGCCATACAATTATTACACATGATTCAATCATCCTCTCCGTTATTAGAAGTGAGAAGACTTCACCGAAAGGGAGTAAAACCAGACAAAACTACAGGTCTTATTTCTACCCAGTCCATTAAACTTACCTTTGAAGGCCGATCCCTTCCTCCGAATATTTATCTTTATTCTGTGAGCCACTCAGTTGAAATTTATGTTCTGCCGTCTAAAATGTGTCACAACTGCTTCATTTATGGGCACCTAAAAAATGAATGTAAAAGTAAGTCTCTCTGTGAAAAATGTGGCAAACATGCACATGATCCTAAGGAGCAGACAGATGTTTGCCCTCGTGCTGACCTTCCTCCTATTTGCAAGAATTGTCAAGGTGATCATTTGCCAAGTTCAAAGGATTGCTTAGAATATTTGAACCAACAATAAGTTAGAAAATTTGCTGCATACAATAACTTATCAGTTCAAGAAGCTCTTACCATTTACTTGGTGCAACATCCTCCCCAATATCAGTCTAGAGCTTTGGCAATCCATAAGAGAAAACTTCCCAGAAACTACCCACCCCCTCCTCCCCCAACAACAGCACAGTTTCCCCCTATCAATCGTTCATGCCAGTTATCCAGCAATTCAACGCCTCATCAACACCAACTCTCTAGCTCATACGCAGCTGTTTTCAGGCAACCCTTACCAAACAATGGCACTACTACTCAACCTCTTGCGCGACCTCCTTCTCGACCTGGCTCAATTAACGCCCATACATCAGGACACCACCCCTCAAACTTTATACCTTCACCACAGTCTCCAAACTATATTTTTGCTGGTTCTCAACTCAGTACTTCAATTAGAAAAAGCACCTCCAACTTCGTACCTTCCTGTCAGTCGCAAGTTAATCAGCATCCTAGTCATCCTAATGCTGGGTTCGTGTTTGCATCACAACCTCTTACTGCACCAGTTTCCAATAGCACTAACACTCAATTTACTCGTACCACTCGTGCTGCATCCTGCCCACCGATGAACTCTGAATCTTCCCCCTCGAATGTTCAATACAGACTATAGAAAAATATTGTAACTATTGTCTTCTTCAACAAACGAAGCCGATGAGATGATTCTCCCAAACTTTGACCCGGATAAGGATTATAGCTTTTTTGAGACACCAAAAAATGCTTCCCAAGCTCTTGCCCTTCTTCTAGAAATTACATCCAATATCATTATTCCTTTAATTACCCAATCAAATGCAAACGTCGCCGCTGACTTCCAAGAATTATTCGCCAAAATCTCCAAATCTCAAAATGGCCTCTAAAAACACCAATACACTACTTCGCATCTTACAATGGAATTGTAATTCTTTCACTCAGAGACGACCTTATTTGCAAGAAATTTCACTAGATTATGATGTTATTATTCTCCTTGAAACGAAGGTAAATGAAAACTACAATATGAAACTAAAAGAATTCACTTTTATACGACGGGATAGACTAGATAGTAAAGGAGGAGGGATTGCGATCGTTCTCAAAAATTACATTCTTTTTGACATTGAAAATTATAACATTCCGAGCATACCAAACGTTCTAGAAACCTTAGCGGCAACAATTAAACTTAGTCAATTCGACTTAACTATTGTCGCCGTGTACAGACCACCATCAAATGAAATGTTTCCTCTAACAACGCTTAAACTATTCGAAAAAATGGTTCAAGTTAGACTCTCTTGGTGGCTTGAACACAACGTCAAGCTACCATTGTCACAGTTTGGTTTTCGCAAATCAAGATCTTGTACTGACAACCTCTCGATTCTTACTACAAAAATCTATTCAGGATTCACCAACGGACTTTACACCGCTGTAGCCTATCTCGATGTCAAAAGTGCTTTTGATGACGTAGACCCTACTTCCCTCGTTTATTTATTGAAAGACATAGGTCTTCCAGAAACAATTTGCAAATTCTATTACAATCTAACAGGTGAAAGACTGATTTACTTCAACATAAATGGTGAAATTATTGGCCCTTTTGTAACCAAAAAGGGTGTCCCACAAGGTTGCGTCTCCAGCCCGACTCTTTATAGCATCAGTGTTAGTCAACTCATCTATATTCTCATTGGATGCGATTATCTACAATTTGCTGATAATATCGCCCTTATTGTCACTCATAAAGATCCAAAAGTTGCTCTTGAAATTCTAGAACGTAACTTGAAAAGAGTAAACCTATTTCTCCAAAAGATTGGTCTTTCTCTATCGCTAGAAAAAACCAACATAGTAATTCACACAAATCACAAAGATTCCGATTTTTCGAACCTTTCAGTTACAGTTGATTCTATTCAAATACCTGTCTCTAATAGCGCCAAGTTTCTTGGATTAACACTGGATAAGAGTCTATCATGGTCAACTCATCTTAACCACATAGTTAAAAAAATTTCACCGAGCATAAACATTATAAGATCTCTACGTACCACATGATGGGGCGGTCACCCCAGATCGCTCTTACTCATTTACAAATCTATAGTCTCGGCAGCTATAGACTATGGTCTATGTTGCATTCCAAGCAATACTAATTCTTTCTTCGACAAAGTTAACGTTTTACAAAGACGTGCTCTTAAATTTGCTCTAGGTTTAAGAAATTAGACCCCTAACCGAATTGTATACGCGGAATCGCAAGTTTATCCTCTTCAGCTTCGGCAAGAGAAACTTGCGTACAACTATATAATACGCTCATTCTCGATAACGAATCATCCAGCGACTATTGCTATCTCAAACTTGGCAGACTCGTTAAAAACAAGCTCTCCTCGATATATTCACAATCTTCCTCTTCTTAAAGCCTTTACTAAGCTTAAACGCTTTCAAAAAAAGATTTACTCTAGCCCTATACCTCCATGCTACGTTTTCTCCTTGGAAGCACAACAGACAGAGTCAACCATTATCCTCGACAAAGGTGAAACCATTGCCAAAGCTGATAACCCGTCAACTGAGTTTATTCATCAATTTAGCGATCTTCTACAATCACACACTCCTTTCTATACAGATGCATCCAAAATAGATACTGGACTGTATGTTGGTTTAGCCATTCATAACCCAGACCATGGCCCAGGCCCTTTAGACCTTAATCTTAAATTCAAAATTTATCCACACAATTCCATCTTCTCAGCAGAAGCTCTAGCAATTCAATTTACACTAGAACTAATTATTCTCAAGAAAATTAGTAAATCTATCATTTTCACGGACTCTCTTAGTACGCTCCTCTACCTTACCCACCAAGAAGCAATTATCGACTCTACGCATATTACAATATTCAGAATAAAAACAAGACTTTTAGAAATTCTTCAGAACCATCAAGAAGTAATTTTTGCTTAGATTCCAAGTCATAAAGGTATTTCTGGCAATGAAACAGCAGACGCATTCTTGCCAAACAAGCTTGCGGTTCAGGTATTAGTCCATCCAACTTAATACCTCATTCGAACCTACGTCAGTTCACTAACGATCTCTGTAGAGATAAATTCAAGAAATTCCTAACACGAGTGGACGTAAACAAAGGAGTCCAATACTTCCAAAACTACTTTAGTCATTCTTCCAAACCCTGGTTTAACAACACTACCTTGTGCAGGACACAAGTTGTAACCACAGTACGCATGAGAAGCAACCATTACAGTCTAGCATATAGCTTACATAGAAAAAATTTAGTTCAATCTCCCTTATGTCCTTGTGGCAAGGACAATGAAGACCTTAATCATGTTTTTTGGTCCTGCGAACGTTTTGACAATCATCGAAAATTGTTACTTTTCAAACTGATGAAAACAAAGATCTTCCCGCCTTATACAATTTCACAATTCCTTTCAGATCCCAAACTGTTGTATCTCAATAATTTTACCAGAATTATAACTCAAAAATAGATGGTTTTATTCAATTAAGTTACAAACGTCAAACTCAAACGATGGTTAGCGAAAGACAGACTAGACGCAATCTTCAAGATGTTGATCACATACGTCGATACTCATTTGTTAAGAATTATACATTACATTCCTCGACCTTTAAGAATAGACATATAAACGTCATAGAACATTATAAATCAAGAACTTTTCTAGCTTTAACTACTCTAGTTGAACGTCGTAAAATTGTTGGCTCTGTAACATTGGTTGAAGATTCTAACACGCGATTACTTGGAATAGTAATATTCGATTTCGGACTACATGCATTTTCTATAATTTGTGATTGATCTCCACTCGCTGCTCTTTCTAAATTGCTCTCACACACTATCAACTTCTCTCTGTCATTCAAATCATTCTGAGTTACATTAGCAATAGGACTATTACATTTTTCTGGTGTTCTTAAATTATGACTATCGCTCACTGACAAATTACATGCTCGCAATTGATCTACATGACGCTTCCATACTCGTTGATCATCCGTTGTGACATTATAGGTAACCGGACTGACCTGCTTATCAACTTTAACTTTTCGCCAATTACCATTCGCATAGTCTCTCGCCATAACTACTTCTTTCTCATCAAAAGTCACATTTCTGTTACCCCTGAAATATTTTCTTTGCTCTTGTTGTTTGTGATAAACGTTATTTTTTACTTTCTCTTTTAACAAGTCCCATCTTGTACGAAATTTCCTGCCAATTTGCAACTCAGCTGGACTTACATCTGTTGTACAATGTGGAGACGATCGATAATGAAACAAATACTTAGCAAGGGCTTCTTTTCTTGATGAACATTCTTTGTTCAGTATTTTAATCTTAGCCTTCAAAAGTTTTCACTGCATTTTCAGCGGCCCCATTACTAGCTGGATGGTAAAGCGCAGTTTTTTTATGTGAAACTCCATAGGAAATCATAAATTCTTCAAACAACTTAGAAGTGAACGTTGGGCCATTGTCTGTAACCAATGTGTTTGGTATTCCCCACGTGGCAAAGTAATCTCTAAAAACATCTATAGTTGTTTCAGTTATAATATTATTCAATTCTCGTATATCAATCCACTTTGAATGACTATCTAGAATAACAATAAACATTTTTCCATCAATTGGACCACAGAAATCTGCGTGTAAACGCTGATTTGCACTTTCTGGCCAACTCCAAACATGTAAAGAAGTTTTAGGTTGATTAGTAGCACTAACAAGACACAATTCACATTGTTTACATTTATTCTCAATCTGTAAGTCCATCATTGGCCACCAGATATATGAGCGAGCTAACATTTTCATACGTACAACACCCATGTGTGAACTATGAAGTTCACTTATCATATCTTCTCTGAGAGATGAAGGCACACATACACGATAACCCCACATAATACAACAATTTTTAATGTTAATTCTTGTTCTTTTCGCTTGTAAGGCAACAATCTATCGTGAACGTTTTTAGGCCAACCATGCAATAAATATTTCTTTACTAAATTCAAAATTAGATCTTTGTCTGTCTCACTGCGAATAGAATCTAATGAAAACGTTCTCACTCCTTCGTTAAAATAATTCAAATACGAATATTCTTCAGTCTCATTGTTGCTATTATTTTGAATAGGAAATCTCGATAAAAAATCAGCGCTCTCATTTTCAACTCCTTTAATGTATCTAATTTCATAATCATACCCAGCTAATATTAAACTCCACCGTTGTACTCTATTCGCGGCCATTGCCGGTAACCCTTTCTTATTTCCAAAAATATATATAAGTGGCTTGTGGTCTGTCTCGAGAATAAAATGCCTACCATATAGATATTGATGAAAAGTTCTTACGCCAAATACCAAAGCGAGAGCCTCCTTATCAAGCTGCGAATAATTCCGCTCGGTCGGTGAAAGTGATCTTGACGCAAATGCAATTGGTTTCGTACTGCCATCATGAAAAATATGTGATAATACCGCTCCAACTCCCACAGGTGATGCATCACAGGTAACTTTGACAGGTAACTGCGTATCATAATGTACCAAAACCTGGTAAGAACTCAATTTCGCCTTCGCTTGTTCGAATGCTTGATGACACTCTTCAGTCCATTTCCAACGAACATCTTGTCTGAGTAACCTATATAACGGGCTAACAATGAATGAGTAATTTTGAATGAATTTTGAATGATAATTCATCATTCCTAAAAAGACTTGGAGTTCTTTTACATTATTTGGTGGCTCAACTTTTCTTATTGCTTGAACTTTCTTGTCCGAAACATGAATACCTTCGGCATCGATCGTATGACCTAAAAAATCAACCTTCGGTTTTGCAAAAATACATTTACTTTTTCTTACTGTCAACCCTGCATCACTGAATCGCAATAAAACTTCTCTCAATCTAGTATCATACTCTTGAACATTTTTTCCTATAATCAGAATATCGTCAAAAAATTTTAATACACCAGGAATGCCTTTCAACATTTCTTCAATTTCTCCTTGAAAAATACCAGGTGCTATAGCTACGCCAAAAACAAGTCTTTTATATTTAAGAAGTCCCTTGTGTGTATTGATTGTTGTTAGTTTTTGCGATTCTTCATCGAGTAAAAATTGTTGATATGCATTCATCAAATCAAGTTTTGTAAAAATTGTTCCTCCTTTCAGCATTGCTAACAAGTCTTGTGTTCTTGGAATAGGATGCCTATTTACAATTAAATACCGATTCACAGTAATTTTATAGTTTCCGCAAATTCTTACTTGACCATTAGATTTCAATATGGGCACTCTAGGTGTTGCCCATTCACTTGACTCAACTTTCTCTGCAACTCCCGACTTAATTAACCTATCAATTTCCATTTCCACTTTTTCTCGCAACGCATACGGTACAGGGTGCGGTTTACAAAATTTCGGTACTGCATTCGGTTTCAATTCCAACTTAAATGTACGCTTATTATACGTTCCTAATTCATCGTTAAATACATTTCCAAATTCTTTAACAATTTCCGCAAATCTACTCTCACATTCATTGATTGTTTTGATTTCATTCATCTTACATTCAAAGTTCTTAATAATCCCTAGCACCTCCAACCAATCCCTACCTAAAATTGGCTTACTATTACCAGGCAAAACATACAATAGCAAATCATAATCTTTCTCAAAAAACAATATCCTAACTTTAACCAAACCAATCGGTACAATAACATCACCAGAGTAACTTTTAAAAATTCGCTTCGTTTCATTCATTTCCAATCTTTTCAATTATTGTCTACTAAAAAAATAAGAACTTGACATTGCCGTAATTGGTGATCCTGTATCAATTTCAAAAGTATTTGTAACATTTTCAACAACTAAATTAATCTTTAACGGTTTAACTTTCATCTTGTTCTCAAATTTAACTAAGTGATACAGATTGTCAAATTCTTCTACAACGCTATCTACCTCATCAATATAATTCTGTTTCAAATTCGTTCTATTCAAATTATTAGCTCTATTTCCATTTCTATTATTACTATAACCCTGATTATTTGTCCGTTCATTATCATAATTAGCTTGACTATTCAACCGAAAATTACTTGCACTCCGACTATTTAAACCTGACTGTGACTTTGCTACTTTACAAACGATAGCCAAATGACCTACTTCTTGACAATTATTACATTTATAATCGCGATACCTACAAGTTGCTTTTCTATGGTTAGCTTTCCCACAACAATAACATCTATTACCACTACCACTACTATAACTCTGTTGATCGCTCGCGCTCGCTTTATCGCTTTGATACGCATTCTTGTTCTTCTTATCCGTTACATAGTTGACCGTCGTTGAATATGCCGCTGCCGTTGATTCTCCCAGCATGCCCTCTGCATCGCGTGTCGCCGTTTCCGTGGATTGAGCCAGTAGCACCGCTGAATCAAACGTCAACGCCTTTTCTTTGAGTAGCTGCCTCTTTGTTGATTTGCATGAAACGCCAAAAACAAACTGGTCTCGCAAATGAGTTTTCAATTCTGTACCAAAATTACAATTCACAGACAATTTTTTCAAATTGGCAACAAACGTTTTAATATCTTCGCCCTCTTTTTGTCGGCATTTTTTGAATGCATAACGCTCGCTTATTTCACTAGATTCAGGCTTGAGATGATTTTTCAAAGTTTCAGTGAGCGCTGCATAATTTTTACTTGCGGGCTTATCAGGCGTACATAATTCTCTTAATAAAGCATAACCTTTGTTACCCAAAAATGTAATTAGTAAAGGAACCTTCTTTTCATCTTTGACTTCATTAGCCATGAAAAACTGCTCCAATCGCTCTTGCCACAACTCCCAATCTTCCGCCAGATCATACTCAGCAATTGTGCCAAATAAGCTTGGACAGCCATCGTACCATCGACCTTTCTCTCACTCACAGCCTCATTGACAAAAACGGTATTATCGTCCTCTGAATCAGAATCTTCTTCATTTCCATTAATTCACCAGTTCATCCTCGTCGCCAATTGTTGTATCTCAATAATTATACCAGAATTATAACTCAAAAATAGATGGTTTTATTCAATTAAGTTACAAACGTCAAACTCAAACGATGGTTAGCGAAAGACAGACTAGACGCAATCTTCAAGATGTTGATCACATACGTCGATACTCATTTGTTAAGAATTATACATTACACAAACCATCCCTTATAGAAATTTTATGCAAATTTCTCAAAAGCGCTGAGATACTTTTATGATGTACTTAATTTTCACTACTAATACTATAACTACTATTATCACTACGAACTAATTATCAATCTTCTTTTCCTCTTTTCTAGCTTAAACTTTATTCTACTTAATTTCTAACCTTTTCTGCTCACTTTTTCAAAAGTTTCGCCAAATTCGCTCTCTCGGCGCACAAGCGCCACAAGTCAGTTGATGGCCGTATGGGAAACCGGAGCCAATAAATATATATAGAATAGAATAGAATAGAAATACGTGCAAGGGGGCTACGCGCTCTTTGCATGCGTGAGAGAACGCTGGCTCGGATGCAGTACGGATTTTATTGCTTTTCGAGGGAAATTCTTATCGCGACACTCATCTCGGCCCTCTTCGCTATTGAGCAACTGTTCTCGTTTCGTGCTTGCCTTAGATGCTATATGAAAAAAATATTCTTACGAAAAATTAAAATTTTAAAAATGGTCCGCCGTCACAATAGATATTGGAATCGGTTGAATGTCCTTTTAGCAGGCGAGTAACGTAATAAGTTAATTTCACTAATACTATTTTAATTTATTAATAACAATTAAATTAATAATGTTATGTTAAATTTGATTAAGGAGCAATTTTTCTGATAGATAGCTGAACGAATTTGTCAATTATAAAATTTATAAATAATTTATATTTTTACAAAAAATTGATAATAAAAGTAAAAATTGTTTATAACTTTTTATAAATAATTTATATGGAGATATATTTTTATTTATCGGATGGTAAAACTTAGGAGCAATTCTTCAAACTGTTCCATGTCTTTTTAGGTCATTTAATAAAATAAATGGAATACAGCCACAGATTGGTCTGTCTTTCACTTGGAAATTCAAAATTCGGAAACATCAACCTTCCTTTCGAATTTTGATAGATTTTTGGAGATGTTTCACTTATGTCAGTGTTGAATGTATAATTCTTGTTTCATACAACAATTTGTCGGTTTTATTAAGTTAATGAATGTATTTTTGCTTAGAATGTTTTTAGTTTACAAAGTTTTTAAGTGGCACTGAAGTGGCAAAACTAAAAAATTAAGTTTCTGAATATTACTTATTATTATTGTTTTTCATTTTTCGTAAAATTCATCTGTCCAAGTAGATAAAATACATGTTTTCAAAATATGAAAATATATAAATAAAAGTTTACTTTTTTCATTGTCTACAAAAGAAAAAAAATATAGCATTGAAAAACTATTGGAAAGTTATTGAAAGCTAAGTAAACTTTTTCGATTTATCAATTAATAATTTTTCAGGTAAAATGAACAATTTACCTTATATCAGAAACAGTTTATGTTCAAGACTATTGTGGTTATGCTGTTTCATATGGAATTTTTAATACAACATATAATGAAGAAGATTAAACACCATGGAAAATAAGTTCAATATGAAAAGTAACCTAAATGGTGATTCAAGTTTTGTGAATAATTCTATTATGGTTCAAAATAAGAAAATTGTTAAGCATGCTTTGAGACAACAAGTAAAACGACGTAAAAAAAATACAACTATTGCTGCTGGAAATTTACGCTCATTACCAAGACTTTCCCAGATGCAATCACCAATGTCAACATTAATGGCAATATCAACTGATCAATCTTTGCCTGGATTTAATGATCAACAAAATCACATTGGTAAATTTAATTTTTATATAAAAGAAATTGATTAATAGTAAATGATTGTTTTCCTTTAAACATTAACATGGTTTCGTAATTAATTCTGTATTAAAAAAGTATACTTATATTTATTTTCAATCTGTAAAATGTTACTTAATATTTAACGTTTTTTATATTTTATTGGAATTTTTTGATTACATGGATTTGAAGTTTAACAACCTTTTCATTTTTATCTTCCACTATATACTTTGATTTAAAGTGCATGATAATATAATCAACATCAAAAATATTCAATAAATTAATTAATAGATTAAAGATTATTGACAATTCATTAGCTTGCTTTAATACAATTAGTAGTTAGCTTTGATACAATTTAGATTCAAGATAACATAACTTTTCTATTAATCGTATCATTATAATACATGTTTTAAATTCTTAAATAGCTTATAGCCACTTTTGGTAATTTGTTCAACATTTCATATAACAAGGCTATGATATAATTATAAGTAGTGGTATGTTCATTGTGATTGATCAGTGCCAAATATCAATCTGAAATGGAATATTGCAATTGTTGAGTATATATTTTTAGAAGTAAGTTTTTTCTCATATCATTATTAAGACAATTAGTTCTATAATTTAATACAATGGCTAAAAGAAATATTTTTTAGCAATAATAAACTGATATTTTCAAACAGGTCACTTATTTATAATAAGAATAACATTATAAACAAGTATTTCAAACTGTTTTACATCAAAATAATTTCAACTTGGTATAGTACAAGTACTTTATGATTTTCAACAGATGAAGGGAACATAATTGACTAAGATGTATAGGATAAATATTTTAATATTTTAAATATTGAAATATTTAAAAAGATATACTTATATATTTTTTTAAATCTATAAAATGTTACTTGATATTAAAAATTTTGATATATTTTCAAAATTTCTAGATCACAAGAAATTGTGGTGGCTCAGTAGGTAAGAGCCCAGGCTTCCGTGCAAGAGGTTCTGGGTTCGAGCTCCAAGCATGTAAAGATTTTTAGAAGTGAAATTTTGAATGTTTGTTATCGTAATTCTGGTAGTTCAGATTTCACTTTGAACTGTAGGTCCAGTCATAATACATATAAAACTTTCTCTTTTTACACCATTTTAAAAAAATTAAGGGGGAACTGGGTCTAGATATTCATGACTATAGAGAACCAAGACTAATATATATCTGCAGCTTTCCATGTGGATGTAGTTCTTGTAGTCACAATAATAATAATAACAACAGTAACAGATTGTAAGTTTATAAGTTTTTTAAATTTTATTTTTACTAGATTTAATTTTATGATTTATTTTCTTAAGAAATTCATTTACAAATCAAGTACTACAGAAAATCTATTTTATTTGTAATTATAAAATAAAAATTCCAAGTCAAAGCTTACTTAAGGAATGTAATGGACAGAAATTCTATACATTTCAAAATAAAGTAATCTTTGATATACAGCGATTCTAATTAATATGAGATATTTGAATGGTTATATATTTGAAAATCAATCTCTAATTAATAATATTTTATGTAATAAACCATTGAAGGTATTATGAATAATTTGGAGCAAATCAATGAAAAAAGTAATAATCTCTATTGTCATATTAGTTTATAAACTTTTTAAAATTAAATTAATATATATATATAGTATACAACTTGTGGTTTACAATACATATGTAGAGACATAGCTAAACTTCTAATTACATGTATCGTAATTAATTGTATTCAAATGTAAGCTTAGAACAAAAGATATTTGTACCATGTTTTTTGTTATTAAATTGAATTCCATGGCTATTTTAAAGTGCATAATCAATGAACATGTATATTTTTCATTATTTTGCAATGAGTAGAATAAGTATTTGAACAAAGTGTAATAAATTTCGAGCTAATCCTTAAAATATATTAAAAAAAGATATGTTTTCTTTCATTAACGTTTCTAAAACTTTTTAAAACGTGGGATAAGTCCATCCATTTTTCTCATTTTCAGAGTATGCTAATGTTTGTAAAAAGTTTTCAAAACGTTTTCGAAACATATATCGTTCATATAGATAATTTAGATGTTCGATAACGCTTGTATTTTTTTTTATCCCAGGCGGGGAAACATTTAAAAAGGTACCCATGATAATGGAAGTGTTAGTAGTGTTGGGCTAATTCAAGTACATGTATCATTAACTACCCTGCTGAATAAAAATCATTGGTTCCTATTAAGAATGATTTATATAGAATGGTAATCAATTGTGTTCAATGGAATGAATGTATCAACGTTTAAGTGGCGATTGAAAATGAATCACTTTCAATGGTAATTAATGGCATTAGTAATGAAAAGTAAAAATTCCAATTAATTTCAATCGTAATAAATCATTATAAACAATACTTTTAATAAAAATCAATTCAATGTTATTTTATTGAATCGCATTTAATGAGTTTCAAAAGACTTATGTCGAAAAAATTCCCCAATCGTACTTAATCCTGCAATTTTTTATAGATTTCAATGTATGATGAAAGGGTACTGTAACCAATCGCACCTAATGGAACCATATTCTATAGATACTAATGATCGTTTAAAAAATAATTTTCCAATTAGACTCAACCGAAAAGTTTTCGATAGGTTTCAATGTATGATAAATGGCTACTATATCTAATCATAATTGATGTAACTATATTCTATAAATTCTAAAAATTATTTGAAAAATAAATACTCAATGGCCTCAATCTAACAATTTTCAATCGGTTTCAATGTATGATGAACGGGTGATACATGTAATCGTATTCAATGTTATGATTTTCTATACATTTTAATGATAGTTTCTAAAATAAATTCTCAATTGTACTCAATGGAATAGTTTTATTTCGATTCCAATGGAAAATGGATGCTGTATAGATTTTTTTAGTTTTAATATATTTCATACATTCTAATGATTATTTTAAAAATAATGTTCTCATTGAATCTATTTTAATGTTTTTTTTATATAATTTAATAAATGACAATTGTAGAGAATAAACAATCGTAATGATGGAATTAATTCATTTTTTACGAATCTCAATGTTATACTTACGATATATCAGTAAGAAAAGTTGCATCATTTGAATTTATTCAATAGAGATTACATAGTAGTAAAATAAATTGTTAAATATTTTTGCAATTGATTGAAATCTGGCAATGAGTACAGAACTGTTATGTACCATAGAATCTCATTCATTCCAATAGTCATCAAATATTCAAAGTTATTAAAAACTATTCAACGATAAAAATCTATTGATTCAATTGACTCATTTACCATTGTATATTGTTCACCATTCATTTCTATAGTTGAATAAACTTCAATCCTCGATCTTGTTCGTAAAAATTACGATTAATGACAAATTAGTATGGAAGAGATATCGATATCATTCAATCCTATTAAGAATGTTACCGTGAATGGTATAATTCCCTATTGAAAGCAATTCAACATAAAAGTTTTGAATGGAAATCAATGGTAACGTATCGTTTCACGCCTAATAAATTTCAATAGATTCCAATAATACAGTATCTCCTCGTTTAATTCCAAACGATTTCAATGGTTATTTTGACGAACAAGATCGAGGATTGAAATCCATTGACTTTTTTTTAATAGTTTCCAATGGATTTTTTTCAGCAGGGATCCAGTGTAATTAGATAGATCAGGTCTTCATCTTAATGTAATCTTAATACTGTTGAACAATACTTGTAAAAAAGGTATTAATTACTGTAAGATGATAAGTTTACTATAAGAGCGTGTACATTGCAACAATACAATCATGTAGCGGTAGCCGATAACAATAAAATAGACTGTGCTATTCAAAGTAATAGTTCATTTCGAGCTACGGGGGATGTTTAAAAAGTAACGTGACTTTATGGTTTTCTCAAAAAATATTTATTTATTGGTCAATATTTATGTTGTCCCCGTCAAAGTAATCCCCGTTATATATAATACACTTGTACCAACGATTTTTCCAATCATCGAAGCACTTTTCATAATCATTTTGATGTATAGCTTTGAATTCTTTCAGCGATGCAGTTTTTATCGTTAAAAATCAATGTCCTTTTATGGGTTTCTTAAGTTTTAAGAAAAGAATAAAGTCACTGGGAGTTAAATCCGGTGAATATGGAAGCTGAGGTGTTGGTTTTGGCCAAAAAATCTCTCACAAGCAACTATGAATGAGTAGGTGCATTATCGTAATGCAAAATCCACGAATTGTTTTTCCAAAGTTTCGGACGTTTTTCTCATGTTTCTTTCATATGATATATTTTCTAAATTAGCACTACTGTCACTAACAATTTCTTCTTTGTCGATTTTGGCTTTCTTACATCTCTTCTTTGCGAGTTCACTAAAATTTCCTGGGTACGTCGAGGCATACTTGATAATAACCGTCACTGGTATTTTACAATACCAAACTTTTTTGATAAATGTCAATAATTTTTTATTTCATAAGTGTGTTCAAAAGGTAAGGTGAATTTTTATTTTTATGAAAAAATATTTATTTATTCATCAATATTTATGTTGTCTCCTTCAAAGTAATCCCCCTCAGACATAATACACTTGTGCCAACGTTTTTTCCAATTCTCGAAGCAGTCTGGTAAGCATTTTCTGGTATAGCCTTGATTCTTCCAGCGATTTTTTTTTATGTTCTCAATTGTTTCAAACCTCCTTTTATGGGATTCTTGAATTTTGGGAACAGGAAAAAGTCGCAGGGGGCCATATCCGGTGAATATGATGCTTGAGATATGATTGTGGTTTTGTTTTTGGCCGAAAATGTTCGACACAAGCAACTATGAGTAAACAGGTGCATTATCGTGATGCAAAATCCATGAATTGTTTTCCCACCATTTCGGACGTTTTTTTCGTATTGCTTCTCGCAAACGGCGCATAACTTCAAGCTAATAGTCTTTATTGACTGTACGACCTTATAGTAAGAACTCTTGATGTACTACACGACGGTAATCAAAGAAGACAGTGAGCAAAGC